ACTCCGAAAATACTGCAGTTTAAAGTTTTTTACTTAAGACCTGAAATCACGTACAAAACTGACAATTTAAACAAACCCATATCTCACATAATCAACAATATGCCAGAAATGTTGGATAATAGCTAAAGGATAGCTACGTAAAAATGTGGTTACATTTTTTTCTGATTGTTTGCAGAAAAATACCAGGACATTAAAGTGACTTTGAAGATAGTGTTTTATTCATGGTTGTAAGTGAGACAGAACCATGATTTAAAAAGTGAGTTTTTTTCCCAACTTTTTAGATGAGATAATGTGATGTGAGATGTTTAAATTATAAGTAGTTCAGAGAGAGAGAAAGAGGTTACAAATCAGCATATTTGTATATTTATAACTGGTATACTGACTCAAAGATATACCTTGAATACAAGGACACACTGGAGCTAAAATAAAAATCCAAGGTTAGTCACTCAAATGACAGTGTACACTCCACACATGCAGTCCTTCAGGAGTTAGACATTCAGCTTTTATAAAGCGCCATTTTCCTTTACTGTTAATTAAAAGGACGGATCAATGAGGTGAAGAAAACAAAAAAAAACTCAGGTAAGAAAGAGAAATGCTTCAAGACACAGATTGATAGCTGTGGTACTATAGCCCCTTAACTTGAAGTCTGCTAGAGCTGCAATGACAAGCATTCACACACACGACTAGATCAACCGTTATGTCATCACTGGTGTACACCACTTCTGCTTCTCATCCTAACATGATAATGTGTGCACATTCTTCAACGACATCAAGATCAACATGGGAGTGTTGTGTAATAAAGGAGAAGGGTTCACAGTGCTCTCTCACAGCAGGTCTTCATGGCTCCATTTACCTTGTGAGAAAAACCAGTGAGGAAAGACATCAAAATAACACAAACCATTCTCAGCATTTCACAGGCCATTTTTATGACTTTGACAGAAACAAGAAATCAAGGAGTCATTTAAAAACAATGCAATCATTACAATAAATGAAGATAAAATCAAAGTGAGTTTTTTTTGTTTGTTTGTTTACACATTCCTTCATAGCAAAATGGCTTCGAGCCAGTAGCAAATACACCTTTTACTTGGACAAGCACAAAGTTCATAGCAAAATGGCTTCGAGCCAGTACACTTTACACTTGCAGGGATCACTCCCACTTCACTGAGTCGTGCTGAATATCACCATCTCTACACTGTCTGCAGGTAAGAGTGCAGATGAGTGGTTCTCATGAATGTGTCTAAACTACTGAAAACAACAATCTACTTTGAAACCAAACTCAAAATCACCTGTTGTCATATCTGTAAATTAAAGGACAAATCCGACTATTTTTTTGAATGACATGATGCTGTTGTTTGAAGTGGAGTTCTCTGGAAAAACATGTTTGTTTGTTTTTTTCAAATAGACAATTCCATCCTAACATTTGCAACTACTGCCCAACTGTTATATGGAATGGGGGAGGGAGAACTTTTTTTTTTTTACATAAATATGTATATCAATATATAGTATTCTCTACTTCTATATATATGCTCAAAATATCAGTACATATGCAAAGCAACATTTACAATGCAACACTTTTTGCCTATGTATTTCACATCTATAACTCTGGAAGAACATATTTCTCTCCTTCATATGTCAAATATGGATACATATGTTACATCTAATGTTATTATTCTGTTGTTTTGTTTTATTGGTGGCTTAACATGCACAGTGGTGTTTCATAAGGAACTGGCAGTGTTGCAGAGCATTTGTAATGACATTTTGAGCATCTTAAGAAGTTACACCAATATTTCAAAAACTCAGTTTTTAACAGTTAGGTCATGCTAACAGTTAGGGGAATTTAGTTTTAACACCATAGCTTTGACATGACATTTCTGAACTCCTTTAAACAACAAATCTATGTTAAAAAAAGGGAAAAACAATTCTCCCTAAAGTTGTGTTAAATGAGCATGGATATTTTTTATAATGATTGGTGTGACTGAAGCTTGATTACTGATGAACTAGTTAATATATTGGATTATGGACATGGTAATATAGATTAGCAGGCTTCACAGATACAAAAAAAATAGCTGTACTGTATTGCTCCTGACCTGCTAACATGTGATGACCTGGACCCACAGCTTAAAGTAAAATAAACACAAAAGTTATTTGTATGTCTGTCATCAATTTAGCAGGAGTAAAATGCAAAGATACAAGCTTCTCTGTCAGTGTACGTGTAAGACCCAGTGATACAATCCCATTACTCTTTAGTGGTTACGACACTTTAGTAATACTCAGGTTGAAAAGTCCTACAACCTCACATCAAGCCTGAGGGTGTGTAGTTATAGACATGCATGAAAGGCCGGGCTGAAGACTGACTGCATCACTCACTCACAACTAAAAGCCTGTAATATTAAAAAAAGAGAGAAACCTTTATGTTTCATGTCATTTTTACACTGTATACACAATTGGCACACACTAGGAAAAATAGGTTATTAGGCCAAACGACAACAAAAAGCATAACTGTGTGTGACTGTGGTATGGTTAAAGGGTGCAACAACTGCTGACAGGAAGCAGAAAAAATATCAGTGGAGGGGGAGGAAGAGGAGGAGGACAATATTGAGGACCTATCCCACCACCTTCAATCTAGGAATCTGTCTTTTTTTTGTTTTTCTTTAGGAAGGATGGGGTGCGGAACTTCTTTTTCTTCTTAGAGGGAGATTTGCTGGGGGACTCCTCCCCCTCCTGCTCGCCAGCGTCAGCTGCTTCCTCCCCATCAGCTGTGTCTACGGCGGCAGGGGCGGAGTCCTCGGCAGGAAGTGCCGGAGCTTCGAAGGGGTCGTCAGGTGTTAAATCTGGTAGGGTCTGTCTCAGGGTGGCCGCGTCACTTTCATCCTTGAAGCTGGGTTCAGGCAAGGACTCTGGTGGGAAGGGAGGGAGGAGGGGAGTTAGGGATCTGTGAGGACAAACTGGTGGAGCTGTACAGATGAGCAGAAAACCTCATCACAGGTGAGATGGGCCACAGGATAGACGGTATAATCCAAAGAGTTTTGACGGGAGACACCAACACCCAGTATTCAAAGGCCTAACAGACATTTGACTTCCATGATCGACTGCTATCTTTATGTCACCACCTCCACCTCACCTTATCCCTCACCTTCTCCAGTTTTACACCAACCACCATTTTGTCCACTCATACCACATCCAATCATTTTCACAGAGTATCTTCCTCTTTTCTCCTGGGTGGCAGTTCCATCTCTAACATCTATTTCTGTTCACACGTTTGAACCATCTCAACCTCATCTCTCTAACGTTAGCTCCAACATGTGTTAACTTAAGCTGTTCCTCGGATCTCCTGATTATGAATCCTGTCCACCTGGTTCTCTGTCCTTAAGACACTGTCAAACTCCCATTATGTAAACTTGTTTACATAATGTACATCTATATTCCATCATGTGTTTGTCCCTAACAAGACAGAGCATGAATTCCAGCCACTGTGAAGATGGCTTTCCTTTTAAGACGCCCTTCCTGATGCAACTTCACCTGGGAGTGTAGACAAGGTGAAATAAAAAATGATTTACTTCCTTAATAATTCCTGCAACTGGTGTTAATTCATATCTGACAACAACCACTAGTTGTGTTGTGAAAAATTTGATTTAAAACAACAATCAGTTTAACACAGATGGATGATAAAAAACACTGAGTAGCAGCACAGAGTAGCAATGCGTTCTGAAATAGAACATACGACAGCAGAAAGGTCATGTGGTATCAATATACGCAATTCCAACTAACAACCATCTCATGTGACATTCATCAGTCTGTCGGACACCACCCCTCAGCCTCATCTCTACCCTTTTTTCCCCCAGTCTATGTAGTTAGTGTAAACCACCCCTCAGCCTCATCTCTACCCTTTTCCCCCCCAGTCTATATAGTTAGTGTAAAGCTAAATGCTATTCTAACTTCTTACCGTCTGACCCTAAATAAAACACTGAAATGAAACACAATCATCAGAATTTTCTCTTGACAGTCAGGATTTATGATGTCACTAGTTGCAGTTGTTTTACCTTCACTTTAACAGGGAAAACTTAATGAGGACAGTTCCCTTGCTCATTTGCACCCTGTGTACAAACAAACAAACATGAAGGTCTACAACAGAAAACAATGGCTTTCAGAGGTTTGAAATGAAAAAGTAAAACCACACGAGTGAGGTGGCAGAGCGCTGTCAGGGGTGGGACGGAGGTAAACAGATTCAAAGCTGGTGCAGCTCCACGAGGTCACACATTAAAGTGGATTAGTGAGCACTGATCCTCTTCAGATGTTTCACAGTAAAAGCTAATACTGCTCAGGGTGAATTACATTACCGGAATTTCTGTTTATGACTACCGTTGCTATGAGTGTTTATGTTTCAGTATATGACATTTCACATTAGACTTTTATGTTTCAGTATATGAAATTTCACAAAAGACTTATATATGTTTTCTTCTTCTTCATTATGCATTTTTTTTGGCTGGTGCAACTTATACTCCGGTGTGACTTATAGACCAGAAAATATGGTATATATGACCATTTAAAAGGTAATAGTTACCAACAAGGCTAATACAACACAAATATCTACATGAAAACCTCATTAGGGAGTTTTTGCCCAGACACTGTCTTAATTCTGTCCCTGACTCACACAGCACGTCAAACCACAGCTACAGACTCACACTGCGCAAAACAACTGGAGTTCTATTGTTTCATTCTGCTCACATGCTCCAGTGACCCAAGAAAACACCACACAACAGCAACAGCCATTACTGTACACCTGGTGTCCGTCAGCACGGAGATGAGGCCCAGCAGATCACCACAGGTTAGATGATGAAGACTAAACACCACACAAGCCAAGCTTTGAACTTCAACCGTCGGTGAAGCCAAACCATGTGAGTCTCAGCAAAGCCAATCAAAAGCAACAGTTAAAATAAAACACTGAGGTACCTGGTAAAGGACTCGTCTGGAAGACAAACAACATTTAAAACATTTCCAAAGCGTTACCCGACACAGTATACGTAATCTTCAGGAAAAACATGAATATACACAGTATACATACAGTTTTGATATAATGAGAACATGTGCAGGAGGTTTGGTTACTTTGGTAGTGAGTGTTTGGCGGGAACAAGAAGGGTTACCTAACGTAAAAAGGAACAGTTGTGAGGTTTACTTCAGGAACATCCTCCATTTCTGTCCTTTTATTAAATAGGTCTTCAAGGTCTAATATCACAGCCCAAAAAGAAAAGTCATTTTGACTTTTTTCAGAAATATCATAATTCTTCAGAACAAAATGGAGGAGCACTGAAATAACCCCCACCTACACACACAGATTCAGAGGAGCTCCAGATGTTAAGACACAGGGAATAGTCAAAAGAATTAGTTTGAACCAAAACTCAGCTCAGCTTTGGAGGCCATGCACAAAAAAAACAAAAACAAAAGAGGCGAGGTAGATGTTGAAACACAGGCATGGAGGTTGACAGATACAAAGAAGTGGTGGCAAGGAGGTGGAACAGTACATACTTACTATGGCAACAGGTACTCTTTTGTACTTCCATCTCCTGATTGAAATCGCAGCCACAAAGAAGAAAAAGCACAAGTAGAAACAAATGTCTATGCACATCAAACCACAGGCACCAAGTTCAAATTAAAAAAAAATGGAAATAAAATGAAAAACGAGGGGGGAAAGAAAAAAACAACCACAATAAAAGAATGGTTGGCAACCATTCTTAGTAGAACCCCAAAGAAAGATGAAGAATGGAGAGAAGAGGATACTGTACACAGAGACATGTTATATAAAACCACATCTGTGTATTAGATTACACCTGGAAAAACATCTTAATGTATACTTGAGCCAAATATTCTGAAATAGTCCTGCGTGTATCAGAGGTCAGTTTGAGACAAACCTGCTTACGTAGGTGTAATCCAATAGTAATAAAGACCAAGAGGGTGACAGGGAAAATAAAGGAGCAAAAACAGACTGTATTGTTTGCATTGGGGTCTATGATGGAGAACAACACATTTAGTTCACGATTTCCTTTCCTGACAATTTGTTTTGAATAGGTGTGTGTCAAACGTGTGGGGCAGTGATCGTTTATGGTACATGTTTAAGTTGTTTTCAAATTAAATGTTTTTTTTCTGGATTGTGTTTTATCTTTTTAAAGTATAGACTTGATTACTTGTACATGGGGTTTTATTTTAGTTATTTTTAAAAAAAAGTTATGTATTTCTTTTTTAATTTGTTCTCTGTTCTGGATAACAATAATAAAATTGCTCCATTTCTCCTTTTGCAAGAAGATGAGTAAAATTGATCTATAGTGGCTTCAGTTTGTATTTAAAATACAGTTCATGAAGCTGCTGATGCACAGTTTGGATTAAATGTATAGATCACTATCTTGTACTCCAGGTAATACTATTTTATGTTTTGCCTTGGAAACATAAAAGTGTCTTGTTGATATTTATCCAATCCCTTTATTGAGACTGGTCACATGCCCCATATTAATTTGAATGTAAAAAAAAACACTAGTTATACTTTTCAGGTGTCAAAGCTGACGTAGTTGGTGTTCAGGTGTTTTTTTTTTTACATCAATTTTGCCATCCATGCCTTTAGGAAGTGGATGTGGTTTTTCCCCTTCAAGTTATCCATCTCTTGGCATCAACATGTTTTAATGCCTTCTAACCTCTTGGCCTATTATTACAGTGAACACATCACAACATTTGTAGTAGTATTATTAAAGACCACAACATCAACAACAACAGACCCCAAGACAGACAAGTAAATGTAAAGTGCAGGCAGAAACCTCCGCATTCCTTGTCTACACGACCCTAGAAGGAAAAAAATAACACAACACCCGGCCATGCTGACTCAGACCAGACTGGGCCAGACCAGGCGAGTGTGTCAGGTGAACCTACCTTCTTCTACTCTGACTGGAGTGCTGGGAGGTGTGTAGGTGGTTTTCTGGCCTTTAGGCTCCTCCACCGGCTCCTCTAGCTGCTCTGGGTCTGAAAGGAATGAAGAAGAAGAAAAGCAATGAGTTTTTATTAAGACTAATTTAAACAAATAAATAAATAAAATCAGAAGAGAAAGTGATCTGTATATTTTGGAATATGATTACGGTCATGTGTATTTTTGAGGATCATTGTTGGGAGGTGAAGAGCTGATTCGTTATGTCACGGCTTGTACTGACATTTTAACTGAGATAAAAATGCAAAAAAAAAGGAAGACGTTAATGACGGAAAAACACTGCAAACAAATCCCAGTAAGATCAACCTGTACAGTATCCCAAACAAAACAAAACCACCATTGGTTTTAATGGAAACCAGTAAAAGGCACACGTGGGACAGTGAAGGCTAAAAAGATTTCTTTTTATCTATAGTGGCTTCAGTTTGTATTTAAAATACAGTTCATGAAGCTGCTGATGCACAGTTTGGATTAAATGTATAGATCACTATCTTGTACTCCAGGTAATACTATTTTATGTTTTGCCTTGGAAACATAAAAGTGTCTTGTTGATATTTATCCAATCCCTGGTCACATGCCCCATATTAATTTGAATGTAAAAAAACCCACTAGTTATACTTTTCAGGTGTCAAAGCTGACGTAGTTGGTGTTCAGGTGTTTTTTTTTTTACATCAATTTTGCCATCCATGCCTTTAGGAAGTGGATGTGGTTTTTCCCCTTCAAGTTATCCATCTCTTGGCATCAACATGTTTTAATGCCTTCTAACCTCTTGGCCTATTATTACAGTGAACACATCACAACATTTGTAGTAGTATTATTAAAGACCACAACATCAACAACAACAGACCCCAAGACAGACAAGTAAATGTAAAGTGCAGGCAGAAACCTCCGCATTCCTTGTCTACACGACCCTAGAAGGAAAAAAATAACACAACACCCGGCCATGCTGACTCAGACCAGACTGGGCCAGACCAGGCGAGTGTGTCAGGTGAACCTACCTTCTTCTACTCTGACTGGAGTGCTGGGAGGTGTGTAGGTGGTTTTCTGGCCTTTAGGCTCCTCCACCGGCTCCTCTAGCTGCTCTGGGTCTGAAAGGAATGAAGAAGAAGAAAAGCAATGAGTTTTTATTAAGACTAATTTAAACAAATAAATAAATAAAATCAGAAGAGAAAGTGATCTGTATATTTTGGAATATGATTACGGTCATGTGTATTTTTGAGGATCATTGTTGGGAGGTGAAGAGCTGATTCGTTATGTCACGGCTTGTACTGACATTTTAACTGAGATAAAAATGCAAAAAAAAAAGGAAGACGTTAATGATAGAAAAACACTGCAAACAAATCCCAGTAAGATCAACCTGTACAGTATCCCAAACAAAACAAAACCACCATTGGTTTTAATGGAAACCAGTAAAAGGCACACGTGGGACAGTGAAGGCTAAAAAGATTTCTTTTTAGGACAGGTTAGCGGGAAAGCAAGAGGACGACACCACTATTTATGTCCACACTCAGGACACTCTGATTGGACACAGCGTCAATAAATGTTAATGTCACTCCAACACACTTCAACGGTGTTTCCCATTGACCTGAAGCCCGAGTGTCCTGGAAGAGAGGGGATGGGCCTCACATCCTCTCTCCTCGGCTACTCGTCCAATCAAACTGCAGAAAGGTATCAGGAGCGTCACAGCTCTGATACCTTTGGACCACACATCAACAACAGGGGGTGGGAAAATAATCAAGCAGAGGCTTTGAGATTTGGAAACTGTAGGGAGGGTGATTGCACATCATTAAAAAAAACATCAGCAGACAGCAACACACCCCCCTGCCCCCCAGAAAAAAGAAAAGGACACAGCAGGCGGGGAAGCCCAGACTCCCAGTGCAGCAGTGTGTAGTGACATGGACCAGGACTGAGCAGGGGAGAAGGGAGAAGCGAAGGCCACAGTAAGCCACGACTCTGAAGGCTTCATCTGCTGTACCTGCAGCCGCTTCTACCACTGTCGCCTCCTTGGTGAGGGCTCGCAGCACTGCACTGTGGAACTCCTTTTGGGGGGAATCTGGACCTGTAAAAACCTCGTCTGCGGTGGAAAAAACATCATCCGCTAGAGTCCCCGCAGAGCCAGCACCGTGCTGAGCCAGCACTGCCCCACTAGAGCTCTGATCTGAGGCGGGGGTTGGCAGAAGTTTCTGAACACCGGGAGAGTCAACCGTAGACCGACGACATGTGGAGACAGAGGAATGACCTCTCTGCAGTCTCTCAGGCTCAGGGCAGGATGCACCGGAAGAAGATCCCTTCCTACTAGCATCTTGTCCCTGCACTGTGAATCCAGAAGTAGGTGTGTGTGTGTGTGTGGAGGGGGTGTGAAAAGAAAACATCACAGCATGGCCAAATGTAGAAATTGTAGAAATTTATCTGACAGGTTTTTTCCCCCTCTTTGTTTCAAGTATATTTTAAATATACCTGTTATCATTCTTATCATAGTTCAATAAAAACAGCACAGCAAGTCAACACTGACACACAACAAACCAGAACGTACTGTAAAAAAGCTCACAGGACCCCTGTAGCTCCAATATGCCGGCTACACAAAGAAACATCAGACACCAATCATTTCACTGTAACTCGTTTCCCCCGCTCAGAACAATAGACACAATACAAATGTCAAACAACATTTTAATGCGCAAGTCTGAAGTCGAACTAAGCTTTATAAAAAAAAGATATAACCTATAATAATGGCTGATTTGGCACAGGTTTCACAGGTTAAGTATTAACTGTAGGAGGTGACTGAAGTCACTGAAAATATTTATTTACTGGGAATGTCCTGATCTGCTTTTAAACCCAGCTGAAACAAATAATTGACTCAATTTTCTTCAGGAAATGTACTGATTGCAATTATGCCTTTTGTGACACAAAACACTAGGATTGCCTTAAAATACATGGAGCTGTGTGAGAAAAACTATATATATTTTAGTGTTTGGATTAGTGTTTGGATAAAGCTAACATATTAAATCAGATGATTTGCCAATGGCTGATGTGATAACAATAAAAATGCCAGCGTTTATCTGATACTTGAGATCAGGATGAGGACATTCCCAGTAATATCTAATTATGGTTTTGTGTATTTCATACATAAAATAATAGCAAATATACACTTTGTTGTCAGTCTACAAAATGTTCTGTTCTCTTTTTCTGCATCACTTGGAGTCTTTACCTTCAGACCCTTTCTGTTTCTGCTCCACCTCCCTGCGGTACGCCTCCAGCACCTGGTCCGTCTGCATGGTGAAGGGATTGGGACCCGTCTTGCTAACGATAACTTTGGGCTGGTACTCCTTTTCAATGATGGCCTTGGACGCAGTCACCAGCTCCCCCTTCAGGACACAGAAGAAATTAGAGGATGTCAATTGAATATAAATGAATAAAAAAGGAAATTAGAGGATGTCAATTGAATATAAATGATTAAATAATAGAATACTAGTGTGTCAGAAACAATGCACACAGATTATAGATAATAAAGTAACAAATGAAAATAATATTGATTTTCACCCGTCATGGACGACACATCACTTAAAAATGAACAAAGTACTAACGAAGCCGTAGAGGGTTAATTTCTTCATCATTCTATCTGCAGACTGGTTCCTAAATGTTTTGGTGCCCACGTCTGTTGGGTGTGGGGGGAGTTAACAGTAGTCCCAACTGTTAACTCCCCCACACCTCTTTGACACATTCACATCCACACAACACTGTAATTTCTGCAAAACCGATAGTCTTATTGATCAAAGGAAAAATATTTACAAAACCAGTGTGTGACAAAAAAAGAAAGAAAAACAGCAATGGCCCCACACCCTCATAGTGGGGCCCGCCCTCCGCTTTGGGAAAACTGCATCATGGTATAACTGCTATGTAAGAGCAAATAGTAAGTTTTGGAGAGCAAGATTTATATCAGTGTGACTGGGTGATATGGGTTCAGGCCAATCAACAGTTCCTGAACATTATGTAGGCTGAAAACTGTGAAGTAACTTGAAACTTGGAAAAAAAAAAAGACTTTTTCATTATATCTTTCAATATATCATCATATATTCTTGGCTGCAACAAACAGAAAACCAAACACCTCTGGATTCAACAGTGTTCCAAAAACATCCACTAGTCCTAGAAGCCCAGGTTAAATGATGTTAACTGAACCAATCAATTATGAGTTACTTAGTCAATGAAGCCATGGCACAAGACACAAGCTACAGGTGGAACTGGAGCATTAAGTACCTTTCTAATCGATCTAGCAGGACTATAGGACCCCTCGGACACATCAAGGCCATCAATAGTGTCTGTACAGTCAGACAGAGGGGCGTCCTGCAATAGTAAACCCAGTGAAGTGGGTGGAAGCACAACCCAGCTTTTCAAACACCAACACAGTCTGTAGTGGTCTGACAGACAGACGTGGGTGTGTGCAGATGTTTACACACACTTTTGCTCACAAACACACACACACAAACAGAGGTGGAAAATTATTATTTTTAAAACTCAATCGAAAAACAATTACCAGACTATTTTCTGGACTATAAGTCGCACCTTTTTCCACCCATCCTATGGCTGCGTTTGCGACTTATACTCAGGTGTGACATATATTAAATATATAATTTCACGTTTGTTATTTTCACACTGATGGCTGCTAGAGGGCACCGGTGCAACTTATACTCCGGATCGACTTATATATGTTTTTTTTCCCTCTTCATAATGCATTTTTTGGTTGGTGTGACATACTCTGGAGCGACTTATAGTCTGGAAAATACTGTACCAGTGTTTTCAATGTAGCACGATACCCTGGGAAAACATGATATTGCGATATGCTGCAATGCTATAGGCACGATAATATACTGTGTGGGGTTTTTTTGAGCAATTTAATTGTAGGAAAACTGTCAATGCAGTAAACACACAATGGTGTTACATGCTTAACATCAGGTTAGTAAAATTAGAACAGAGGGATCTATATTTGTAATGACAAGAGAAGAAATGAAAGCAAAATAAAAAGAGCCATCGCCGCATATATTTGCATGTCCTGTGATAATAGACAAAGAATAGTCAATACAAGGCTGTAGAATGTCAATATGGTATTATGAAACGAAATATTGCTATATGTTACGGCAATGATATTTTCTTACAACCCTAACAGAGATATCTATCCTGTGATCACAACCCAGATCACAAATGCAGATCTTGCTAAAGTCCAGGTGAAACTAGATATATTTGTCAGCCATTTCCACCTCTGTGCTCACACACACAGACACACAGCAATCATACTGTACATTAACATGGATGATTCATGCAAAGAGGGAGCAGAGAGAGTAGGCGGGTGTGTAAATAGCAGAGAAGCAGTTGAGAAAACAGCCAGATGCATGCACTGTTGAAGCCAGAGGGAGTTACGGGTTCATCAAAGCATCCTACGGTCTGACACTTGACGGTGTCGTCAGTGATGTTAAACAGACTCGTACAATTACAAAAATGCATTCTTCTTAAATTTTCAGGTATTTTGCTTCCTGTGGATCTCATGTCCATTTTGTTTGAGCTGAGAGGCCATCAAAAAAAAAACACAGTAAAATCATGCTACCTAAAAGAACCTAAATAAAAAGACACTAATGTATGCCTAACAATTACAATATTTGTAGAGAGAACAAAGCACATGCACAGAAATGACAAAGACGTGACGAGGTCTGTAAAAGGTCATTTACAAGATATTTGAAGATACCAAAATGGCTGCAAATGCTGATACAGGTAACTTCAGGTGAAAAAAAAAAAAAGGTTTGTAAAAATAATTCATGATAATGGAGACAACCTGAACTGGCATGTCTGAGGTTACCCCAACCACATGCTACTCACCTGCCACATTGACAATTTCTGTGGTTAGAAAATAATGTCACAGTTACAAGGTCACACCATGCTCAGGGAAACAACATGGGGGAGACATTTCTCCTATTTGTAATAAAGTTTCCTCTTCAAGACTGGCGGAGGAGAACTTCACACAAAAATATATTCCAACAGTGCAGGGTTGTGGTAAAGCATTGTCCCAGACCTGGACTGAACATATGAACTTTTTGGTTTTTAGCTCAGTCGAATGTAATTACTGTTTCCTCATTAGTTTTAATCACATGTTCATATCCAGGTCGGGTTAGCTTCAGCAGTGAGGTGTTCATGTGCCGGGCTCACACACTGACCTGGGTATAGGTGCGTTCCACCATAGTACCGGCACACAGAACCTGAGACTGCGGGCCTGCAGTCTTTATGTCCTGCAGGTTCTGCTCACGAATCTGAAGATTAAACACATTTTTCAAGACAAGAAAAAAAAACCACAACCAAATCTCCTTCTGTGTCCACTGAATTCTCTAATACCTTAATACGCATTTCCAGGACTTCCTTTGGGTTGGTGTTCAATGGGATGAACTGATTGGCTACAGCAGCCTGACGGACACCGTCTTCCTTTGACCACTGTAAACACAACATAATGTGTTGAAGAACAAACACAACCAAATCTGCTGAGTGGCGTGGAAACGCAAGCACAAAAAAAGTTCAGACAAAGTACGATGCAGGCTTCACAATACAACAACATGCTGAAGTGAAATGAACAAAGGTGGGGGACATTAAAAAAAACTTTTGAATGTAAAAAAGTGGACCAATGATGATGAGGAGCACTCAATAAAAAGAACACATCAAAGACAACAGTTCCCTATGATATTCCCAAAGTACCCTCACTTACTATAGCTGAACCCATCTGTCACTTTGGCAACACACCTCAGGACCTTCTAATGGTTTTTTTATGTTCAGAATCACAGCTCATCTACTTTTCTGCCACATCAGACTGCTTAAATACCACAGTTAGGTTCGTGACATCAGAATAATTCTCTAGTCTTTTTTCTTGACACGAAGCCAAATTGATGCTTATTGCTTTCAACAATCAATTACAGCAATGTTGTAGCTACTAAAGCACGGAAAGCACAAATATTTGATGAAAAGTTTGTCCCCTGAGAAGAAACACTTATATTAAACAAGTATATATTTAAAATCTTGTGGTACAGTTATTTCTGTCTTATCGAGTAGGGCAATTAGACACTAAGATGTTTAAGGGCTGACTGGCTGGTAGGTCAAATAAAGTCAGAAACTCAAACATTACAGAACTTGTAAAATTCCATAAATGTCTCTGATTTTGTCATCACATCCTTTATCAAATGTTACAGAACAACTTTGTTCTGAATCCATTTTATTGATAATCATTTGCACTACCTAAACATCATTACACACAACAACCCACTTTGTCATCATCATTGACGTACTATCAAAATCTAAACCCAAACTGAAGAAGCACACAGATAAAAAACATTAACTGAAAACATCACAGAATGAGGAAATGGGTGAAAGATTAAGAGGGAGAGAAAGGTGAGGGTGTTGGCGAAGGTGGAGGGTGAGGGTGAGTGAGTGAATGAGACGATGAGGCTGGCTTACGAAGCGAGAGTGGCAGTGAGGGGTGAGCTGGCATCACCAGTCATTTCCCAGTCTGATACACAACAACAAGGACGACATAGATAAAGAGAGAAGAGACACCCGAGGACACTCGTCCACGTTGGAATAAAAGAATGGCTACATCTGCTGTCACAAAGCTATGACATTAACACACCTACATTTCTGTCTTGTGACGATTGAGACCCTATAACTGGATTTTCAATAAACTTTAAAAAAACAAACCTGGAAATGCTCAGCATGAGTGAGGGAGGAAATAAAATCTGTTTGTTTTACACCAAACTGAATGAGCAGCGCATGTATAAGTAAAATAAATTTTTCAGCTTCCATGCAAATGTTTACATTTTTCATCAACTAAATCGGCAGTGGAAAGCAAAAGCTCATGACTTTAATTGTTATTTTGATGTTAGCTAGTTAGCAGCTAAACCAGGGGATAATGAGGAAGGATTTCTGAATGGAAGCAGCTGGGCTGAATTGGGTTGTTGAGTATGAAATGAACATGTAAACACGATATACTCACTGAGATTGAGTCTCACAACACAACATTTCCTACTTTCCCAACAGGAGATAATTGATTATAAAGTCAGGTTTGTAGTTTAAACGTCCTTTTTTTTTTTCTTTCCTAAAACAATACTTCAATACTCATGCAGGTCTCAACAAATTCAAAATCATTTTCAGAATCAAACTGAAACCAAAAGTTTAAAAAAATAAATAAAACTGGAAGCAAAATCATACGACCTGTAGCAGTTGCAAAATTCAGAATAAAAATAGGTAGTAAAAAAGCAGGCTGCCTTTGCCCTTATGCTGAGGAGATATTTCTATATTGTGCAACATTTTTAATTACATACTAAATAGTTTATAATATGTTCTCTTATTCTTATGTTGCAGCAAGAGCATGCTGTCTGAGGACTGGAGTAATGTCATGTCAAATCTCTCTAATTTTACAACTATTTTTCTTGAGCCATTTCCTGTCCTTTCCTGGCCTGAGCGAAATCATCAAGATGCAGATATTTAAAAAAAAAAAAAAAAAAATCAAACTAAAGAGCACGAATTACAGAGTGAGCAACAATGTGGTGTGCAGGAGCAACATCATGGCCTCCTGTGCACACCGGCCTTTTCCTCTTTGAGGACTCATGCCACACCCCTGCTTGCTCCTCTGGGAAAAAACATCAACACCAACAATGCATTTGGCTACTACTCGTGCAGTGAGGCATGCTGTGGGCAGCTGGCCTGGCATCATGAAGCATTAGGAGACCAGAGGGTTAAAAAGATGGTCAGGAAATGATCCCAGCCATGTGACGGAAGAATTTTACAGAGCAGAGAAAATGTGTTTAGGTATTAGGCTTCAGAATCAGATTTGAAGCTTGCCAGAAAGAAGAGGACAAGATTATCAGAGAGAAACAAGGCTTCTCCAGTCATGTCCACAGAGGACAAGATTATCAGAGAGAAACAAATCTTCTCCAGTCTATGTCCTGACTGATCCCAGGTGCTCAGGATGCCGACCACCTACCCGAGTCCACCATGAAGGCAGCTGTAAAATTGTACTATGAACAGTAAGGTAGGCACAGACCAAGCAGTTGGTTATACAGCTTGGCACGCAGACACCGGACGAGAGAGACTGCAGCAAGGGTTTGACGTGATCATGTGTTATGTTCGTCCACACCTTAGGCTTCGACTTGGGACTGCTGCCGTCAGGCCCGTCCTCGCAGGGCTCGTCGGGCCGCCCGCTGGAATTTACCCAACGGGTCTTGTCACGCTGGCCACGCTGGAAGCTGTGTTTCAGCGGGGAGCGAGCGCCCGAGTCGCTGTCGTCCCCATATGAGTAACCACCGTGGGCAGAGGGAGCGTTCTCCACATCACTGTATTTTTTACCTTTGTCTCGCAATGCGGGGCAGCGGTAAGGATAACCTGTCCTGTAGCCCTGGAGAAAAACATGAATACAGTGTTTGATGTACAGTGAGGAAAGTAATGTTCTGCCAATCCATTATACTTATAGTTAAAGGATGCCTGGCAACAGAACCAGCAAAAGTTAAAAACATTTACTAATCACTGATTACTAAGACACTCTTCTTGTGGCTCAAATGAACATTATAGTCACTTTAAAACTAGTTCTGCACCAGTGCTGCTGCTCTGGACGTTGTACCTACCAGGTTGTCCAACATTCTCATAAGAGCTTCAAACTCCTGCTCCCCCACCTGCCACTTGGGGTGTGTAGAGGACCCCTCACCAACGGGCTCGGGGACCTTTGGACGTGACTTGTATTTACTCGGGTCCAGCATCACCAGATTATCGGGCCCACCAGCACTGGCCAGTGTTCGCACCTGCAAACAGGTAGTCGGGAGCACAGGCAGAAAGAGAACAGACAGAGATCCAGAAAACAGAAGGTAAAGGTGAAGACGTGAGGACAGACACAGAAATACATTTACCAACAGCACCATACACACACACACACACACACACACACACATTGAAAAGACAGAAGACAGACAATTATGAAATGTGCAAACATACAAAACTATAGCACCAAAAAAGCATGCTATATACAATGACATTTGCATTTAAAAGGAGACATATTCATCCAGAGATTCATATTTCAAGCTCAGGGTCAGGAGCACAAACATGATGTGTTTTTTTGCTGAATGAGATGTAAGGAGTTCAGTGTTCACCTACCTGGATCTCACAGGCAGTGATCAAGTTGTGGACGTAAAGGAATGCTTCCTCCACTGTTTCACCGACAGACAGCAGCCCATGATTCCTCAGGACCAACACCTGCAGGAGAGGAGAATGTAAAGCCACCATCAACCACATATATACGGATAAAACACAAAGACAGTTGTGACAACTCTATACGTCTCAAAAAGTTTTGACTGCCTTATTGCTACTAGGTCTCATAAAGTCATACGTCAAACGCAGAATCAGAATTATTCAATGTCGTTCTAACAACAGAACATCCATGAGATTACGATGAAATTTAGGTGCAATTATTCCTGTGCATTAAAGATGATAAATAAAGAAGACAGGCAATATTAAAGTATAAAATATAAAAGGTAAACACAATACCAAACAAACAAATTGTTATAGGTTTACAGACTAGGTGAGTAACTTTACTAGGAGTTTGCCGAGCTCTTGCTCCAGGCAATAAAACAATGTGGTTAATACAGTAAACAGATTAAATTAGCAAATATACTGTAGTCAGCAAATAATTAAATTAGCAAAGCATTAGTGAAATCACCATAACACCAAATCTTACCTTGCTCTTAGGCCCAATGTTTCTCTGTATGTCTTCTTTTTCTCCTTCATCCACCACTATGCCCTGGTAGTCGTGGTACCTCACCTCGCCCAGAGACAGAGCCTCAGGTGAGATGGGCAGAAGACCACATTTCATGGCCGACACCTGGAAGCAGACAAGGTCCGACCAAGTGAGACGGGCTGTTTTCTTCTGATCATGTTGGTACTGAGCAGCACTACTGTGTCTACATCGTCTCTTACCGCAGCCCCTGCAGATGTGTGTACGTGGACGATGCAGTTGACATCGGGTCGCGATGCGTAGATGGCAGAGTGGAGAGTGAAGCCAGCCTGATTGACCCCCAGGTTGGTGCTTCCCCGGTCCACAATTTCACCTTGAATGTTTATCTTCACCTGGAGGTTGATATTCGATTTTCTACTTAGTTAACACAGACAGCTGAACAGAAAGTGAGCAGAGCTTTTACATCAATAGCTCAATGCAAGAGAAAACGTTCTCCTGCAATACAGCGTCAACTTATGTAGATACAAATTTATATCAATGTATCAACATATTTTAATGACTTAAGAGATTATTCAGTAGATGAATGTAAATAGGGATAATTTCTTTTGTTTATAGAAAATGTTTAAAAATAGTATAGACTCACCAGACTGGAGGCAGTGACTTCACTGAACAGAAGCCCAAAAGGGACAATAAGAAAATGCTCTTTGTCAGAGTTCACACGAACCTGCAGACCAAAGGACAGTTTCAACAATACTAGTTAGTTGGTCAGTTCGGGGTTGTAACCAAACCATGGTTGATTGTATTTAAATGATCTCACTGTGAGGTGGTTGTAGATGAGCTCAGACCAGCCTAACAAATCAGCTAGACGGTAAAAGGCAGCCAGCTTGCAGCGAAGTAGCTTCTCTCCTTTATCGTAGGAGATGGAGTCTGAGCCCCTCAAGTCATTGACAGGAGTCACCATGCCTAAACCTGAGAGGGAAGAGATGGAAAAAAAATGTTTATCGAAACAGAACATTGAGGCGACAGACACAATCTAAAGTGTATTTAACACTAACAGCAAGACAGAGAGGAAAATCCCTACTTATTATATTATATTGAATATTTACAACTCCAACTCTGGGCTCTTTGTGCAGAAACTGACTCCTGCGTAGCACTCTGAATTACTTATTGTGTGCACAGACATAGCAGAGTTGGGGTCAGAAGGTCAGACACACAAACACAATCATTTTTGTCTGCTTACTCATGTTGAGTGCTGCCATGCCTCCCTGTGGTGCAGCAGGATACATGGAAGGCATACTGGTGGTCATGAAGTCTGCGATCTGCTGCAGAGCCAGGAGGCTGGTGGGGGTCTTCCCTTTCTTCAACTGATCCTGGATCATTGTCTCCAACTCCTCACAAAAGGCCTATGTGTTAAATGTAAGAAGCAAAAACAGTACAAGAAACATTAGGGCAAATGTTAGACCCTATGTCAACCAGCTGTCGCAGTCATAAGTATAAATGGCTCTGTCCATTACTTAAACTCAATAACTTCAAGGATATATCATGTTTAATTATTAATACATTTTATTTTAAGTGCTACAGTGTTTTTGTATTTCTGACCGGGCTTTGTAGTATCATTGAGACCCTCTTCTTCTGCTCCATCATGTTAAAGTCCTGCCTGAGGTCGGGCGCCATGTTCCTTTCTCTTTGGTACTCCGGGCTGCTTTCATCCACGCGGTCAAAGTAGCGCTCCTTGTGGGGAGCTGTAGTGGGAGGGGGGGCCGTAACAACCCCGGCACCTGAATCACCATTCATCCTGGGCTGGCCTCCTGCACAGGGGAGACAGACGGGAGAGCCAAATGTTGCTTAGGATACATTAAAAATAACAAGAGACGCACGTTAAATCTGACATTTTGGTTTGGTTTGGTTTGGTTTGTTTAAATACATATGACGATTTTCTTATCACATGAGCTTAAACAAATTGTTAGTCCTAAAAGCCTTTTACAAAGACAGCACTCAGTCCTTCAGTAGATCATGCCACTACTCTCCCCAGTCCTGAGAGGTTTAAATTGATCGCCACAACTTCCTGGAATCACAGCAGCACTCAACTCTTAGGTCTGGGCAAAGGAAAGGAGGACAATGACTGGACTGTTCTGATGACCTTATAATTAATTATTAAAGCAAAGAAAAATGTATGATCAAACACCAACCATGGGGAGCATTGTCTGGTTGGTTTTATATGTAGCACAGAGCTCTGTCGTCTGAACAACCTGTACACCACAGCCATGTGACTGTATATGTGAAGCCTAATAGGTTCATAAGGTGGTTTTAAAATATATTATAAGTAAAATAGAAAATTAATGTTGACTATGAGGAAAGGGCTCTCAGTAAAACATGTCTTTTTAACCATCTACTGCAGCATTTTCCTAAATATGGATCACAGACCCTGAGTGGTACCCAAGGGAATACGTGGAAACGTTTCATATTTCATTCTTTCAGATTTAACTGTGTTGAAACACTGACATTTTACAAGGTCTGGACTGACAGCCACACACACACACAGCTTTAGCATTGAAATAGGTTTCTGTTCTGATCTGATGTCAATCCAACTAGGGTGGATTGAAGAAAAGGACTCCAGTTGTCAGTCAGCACTCCACTCCAGCAAGACACCAGCAGACTTATGACCACAGATAAATGTGAGCGTGCAACCATCCATGCCTGGCTAATGGAGACTGCACTGGCAGAAACTGATGTAACCCGCTCGCCTGCATCAATACAAATGTCGGGGCAAATCTACCATGACAACCCCAGTCCAAACCAAAAGCATCCAGTATCACACTGAGAGCAGACAGACCATTCCTCTGTTTCTGTCCCCTTTCGTTGGTGCTCTTTCCACAGCATCAAACCACAGCATCAACAGTTTTAATACATCTCAGATCACTTTCTTCAGTTAGGGTTACTGTATCTTCATGTTGTTAACTTAAGAAAAATGATTGTAACCAATTGTAACTGATTGTAACCAAAAATGCACTTACATTAGTGAGGTAATATGAACTGATCGGTGTCAAGAAGACACCAGAAATAGGCACACTACGGCTAGGGTCAGGAACGGCCCACTGGGCTTTCTAACCCAATCCTTCTGATTCATGCATTACAACAAATTGACTAATTTCTGTTGTTGCCACTAAATGGCGGCTGATGTTAAATGTGCCTAATTATCTTTGCAAGTTTAGGTTTATTCTTGTGCATCTTATTAATTTTATTTTGCCAGCAGCAATCTGTACATAACCTGTGCGTCGGTCACTGCATCACAGTGTTGATCTTCTCCTCTTTGAGGTAGGACGTTGCTGACAATTTTTCAAACTTGAGGTACAACAACAATAACTGCTGTTGTAGGGGCGACAGGCCCATGTTCAACATGTATACAAGGCCACTGAGCATTAAGACTGACATTTAGATCTCACTCTATTTGCTTTGATGTGTTTGATGTCCACTGTTTGTGTTGCAATCTATGTTAAAATTAAAGAACGCTCACAGGAGAATGAGTGAAAATGAGTGGCAAAAGTCACATTGTTGTGTGTATCACTCTATCAGCATTTTACTTATCAGCTTTATTCTTAATATTATAAAAGGTGAACATACTACTAAATATAATCTGAGAATAACAACTGAGTGTCCACGCCACTACAGAAAATCTAGCCACACCTTTATATTAAAGTCTGTTCTCAATAATCTACTTCGTTTACAGTCGTTTCATTCTGTAGGACAATTCAACCAACAAAATTAGCTTCCATTGGCCTCACATAATCTTCAACATTCTCAACTTCTCCTGTCTTAATCCCTCTTATCAGATATGTTCAGTAGATGTAGCAGCTCTGCATGCCGCTGCTTCTCTTCACAAGTATGATCACCATGGAAACCAAACATGTCTCAGCGACACAGGAAAAGCCTTTACAAGATCAGTGTTATGTAAGAACAGCTGGAGGCCAACACTTTACGCATGTCTGTCAGAATCACTAGGCTCCATTACCAGCATTACTGACTTGGCAAAATCTTAAATATCTTAGCGATTTATCCTCTTATTCAGTGACTGAAGATCGAAAGGAAGGATTTCTAAGTGCCCATCGGACAGAAACAGCCCCCCCCAACAAAAAAAAAAAAAATCAAGCAGAGGTCATGGTCTTCATTGGGGTAGAACTAATGTAGACAAATACAAGCCCTGTGCCAAACGTCAACAAGACTTGGCTAAGTGACTGACCCTACCCTCCGACTGTGAATTAGCTTTTTAATTAGCATTTGTATGTGTCTTCAGTGATGTCAACCACACGGCTGTGAATACTTGAGTTTACACTTGGCATTAGAATAAGTACTACAGAACACTACTCATTTCAATGTGTGAAAGTGAAATGAGGTGTTTTAACTAGCAGCAGGAAGAAACCCGAAAACCAGTACTAAAAATATGGTCACCATTAAATTATAGCCCACATACAAACCAGTATGACAAAACTGTTAAAACAGCACCAAAAATTTGTGAAATGGATCCAAACAAAGAATATCAAACCTCTATATCAAATATTCCGGTGATGAATAATATAACCATTACAGAATTGTTGAATTAAGCTGCATTTTTTTAGTGCACACTGCACTTTTTAGCAGCACCATTCTGGGATTGAACCGGCAAATCTTGCGCCAACTTCCATCCTTGAACCGCAACAGCCATTTACCAAGTGCTTTGTGTGTGATACTGTAGCCTGTGAGCATGTTGATGGCGGATATGCAGAATTTCCTTCATCTGAGTCAAAGTTCAATGTTGAACTTTCAGTGACACCACCCAGTACAGATGTTTTCAGTCTCCAAACAGACAGCTTTGAGGACCCCGCCAAAAGAAGACACACAAGACCTTCCACTCTCAAATGTTGAGTAGCTTTTGGGAGAAATTTATGTTTCAGATTTTCTGCACATTTCCCAGTGATATTGTAATTCCCCTCAGAGAGACAGAAATGCCACAAAAATGTTTTCCCCTCGACCGAGCCTTTCAATTCAGACCCATTTGCCTTTTCCAATAATATGCCAATCAACCAATAGTTTACACAAGGAATACTGTGTCTATGAAACGAAAGAAAATGTCATTCAAGGCTATTGGTCTTGACAGTCTTTCTATAGGGCTCTATGCACAACTGGTGCTACTAGCATTTAGCAGGCATGGATAGAGAAGCCCTCCAATGGAGCCTTTTATATCTCCAAGCTGGATGCCTGTCATTACTAGAGGAATCCACAAGCAACTGGTATGTGTGAGTGCATGTGTGTGTGTGTGCGTGAGTGCGTGCATGTATTACAAACCCAAACTACCCCTAAAGAATGCTTTAGGTGTCACTTTAACACTGTCACGTTTAAAGCCGTGCCCCAGACCAGTATTTATAAGTGGTATCACTTTACGGCAGACAACCTGAAATACAGCTGCAACGAAATCAGGTTGCTGCAAAACATTTCTGACTTCATTATCTGTTGCTAACTTCCACGGCAACAACTGCATTGTGTTGGAGTGTCGACAGTGACCCGAGGTTTATCTGGCTGTTGCATGTCATACAGGATGAAGTGGTGGACGATTGCCATCTGAAACAACACACCACTCCCTATGCTGTTTCCCCTCCCCTCATTCTCTGGTTTGTATTATCAAGAAGACACTTGCCTTTAGATTTGTGCAAACATAATAAACATTGATGTGACCCCTAAGGGGCTTTTTTTTTCTCCACTCCATTTTTACACTTGATAATGAATGGTCCTTCGAATTGCTTGAACTTGGTTATCTGGGATTAGCACAACAGTGACTGGCATTATTGACTCTGTAGCTAGAGTTGCTAATGTTGTTAAGCTGGGTTGATGTGTTAATGCGATTCCTGCCACATCGGACACTACTTGATGTAAATTGACAAAAAAAGAGACTGTTGTCCTGGGACTATATTTCAATTGAGATGAAAGATATGCATAATTTGAGTACCGAGCTTGCATGCTAAAAAACTGCAAAGCATGATATGGATTTCCATCAAATTACCTTTGAACATTACGCCACTTTGCTAAAAACAACCTAAGAGCAGTGAAAACCCTGACGTATGATTTGTAAATGACTTCAGAGAAAACACATTACTGTCACTGGGTTATGCTGACTAGTGTTGGACTTATAAAAAAGGCCCTTTTGTCCATATTAAAATCAAATATTTCAGCATCGGCCTAACCAGACTGGATAATGTAATTATGCAAAAACTAAATACACTAAATACACCACAATTCCCCTGTGCTTGTAAAGTGTAACTGTAAGTACAAAATGTCTGCTTTGAGAAAAGAATGATATAAAGAATGAAATGAAATGAGGAACACACTTGCAGCTGCACTGCAGTCGAGGGTGTGGGTGTAGCGAGTGGGAGTAAAACAAACGTGTAAATGTCCATGTGTAGTAGATTGGGTGTATTGTGAGTTGAGAGGGGCAACATGGAGCCAGGCTCTATCCACTGGGAGTTTTGCTCACACTAAACATGATTACGAAATCAAGGAAATGACCATCATTCCAACCAACATTACACCGTCAGATACTTTGGCAGGACTCCCAGTACATAACAGCAAAGGACTTTTGTAGCACTCCTAAACAAAGCTGAACACAGTTAACCTTTGCAGTTTAAGAAACCAGTTTACTGGTTTACAGACCTACACGCATGATTATTATATTTAGTTTTCATACAGAAGGCTTGAATTTTACCAGTAGGAAAACCTACAACTGTGGGCTACTTGTCCATTTCTTCACTGGTTTTAAATGACTTATCTTGAAGTTAAAGCA